AAATCATGTACATGTATCTACCCACATGCTCTGGAGCAGCGAGCAGAAACCAAGCCAGGTGACAGGCTACGTTTCCATAATGTACTGTATGTGTTTAGTAAGGGCTAAGTTTGTGTGAACCTCTGGCCTGTCCTGCACCCTTGGAATAATCTGACGTGCAGCCACTTTTATTGCCTGTCTAAATCACACAAACACATACAGACCTTGTGTTTGCAGGCTTCCAAAATTAAGCTGCAAGTTTGCAGGTCAAACCCTAACTGAACAGTATTTAGAAGTCACACAAAACACACAAAAATCAGTTAAAAAGCCAGTGCTAACATATAACTATAAGCTGTACTACCACCTTCAGACAACATACTCATACTTCTACACCTGAGACTTCATTTGTAATTATGAGCACATTGATGTCAAGGCTGCCAAGACTGATGTCATTAAGAAGCAAATCCTGGCATGTTCTGGAGCCACTCCGTTAACAAACATGAAGGACACTTGTTGACACAGTGGCAGTACACTGGCTTTCAGCTTCACAGAAAATTCCCTTTCACTATGAACCTACTACATTTGGTGATTATGTTGTCAGACTCAACCTTTCCAGGAAACTCATTTACTCTCCTCATATTCTTTGATTAGTCAAACGTCTTAGGACACTTATACCAAACTGAACAATTTAGTGATTGCTTAAAACATGACAAAACTAACTGGCCATGGGATGAGTAAATCCAGCTGGTGACATTTTTTATGTCCATAAAATATCGCCAAGACCTACATGGCTTTCCTCTGTCTAATGAACTTACACTATGTCTATCAATGAATTACTTTCTTGAACATTTCAGTGATGTGTTCACCCTTAGTTAATCATAAATCTTACAATGCATTAGCACTGAATGCGCCCACATTCATGTACTCACCCTGAAGCTACATCCACATGTTGCAGCTTGCCTTGCATCTTAAGACACAGTCTCAGATCTTGTTCAACAGGTTCTGTGAGATTAAACTAAGGGATAAGGAAAAAAAGAGGAGGGAGAAAAACAGCCCACAGCACACTGGACAAGCTCTATTCACCCAGCAACCAGTCAAGGAGCGTAGTACAGATGTTAGTTTTGCTTTCAGATAATCTGGAAATGAAACTGATGGGCAGAAAAGGGAGTCTGTGGAATATTGATAAATTGATAAAGCAGTACTTTTTGATATATTTGTGATATAGAATTTGCTTTTTGTTCCCATTAACAAAATGTTTTATTTAACACTACATCTTGATAAGGGCCTTGCATAACTTCATAATGGCTTTGCTGTTGGGCTGACGAAGCAGTGAAGTGTGACTCAGCCAAACTAAAAAGTCCATATCATAGTCAAACAAAGGAGCAACCAGACACTTGTCTGTCACAGAAGATATCTTGCAATCTTTGAGACATTAATGTTCATACATCTGAGCCTGTCCAAAGAACCGGTCTCACAACATTAAACTGAAATATCATTCTGACAATCTGTAAAAACTATGACATTTTATATCACACAAATATTTTGTAAGTGGCAAAATCTTATGTGTTAGTACACATTCAATTAGATGCAACATATTAAACATCATTCAGAATCAGAATCAGCTTTACTGGCCAGGTGTGTCAGACACACGAGGAATTTGACTCTGGCCCCTTGGCTCTCAATGTGTATGTACATATCCCCATGCAAGGGACAAGTAAACTGTAAACCAACATAAGGCTGTGTAGTATGACAAAATAAACAGTAATAACGAGCAACAAACATTGCAAACAATGCAAAATAAACAGTATAAACAGGCAGTAAACACTGCAGACAGATTGCATTCTAACAGTCATTCTGTTAATTAAGCTGCCATTGCTGAAGTATTTAGATCAAGATAATGTCATTGGTTCATCCACTTAAGGTTTGTTCAGCCACTTCTCCTATCAAGACAAATTTATGTAACTCAGTTTTACTATATTGTGATTCATTATCTGTTTATACACCGCTTACTTAGGAATTGTTGCTGTTAAAAATACACTTATATCTGCTTATACCTGTAGTTTTGTGTGTGATTAATATATACTAAAATTTATGTGGTGCTCATAAATGCTAAATAGGAGAATAAAGTAAAATGTCACCATAAGCTTTTAAGAAAGGTTAAAAAAAATACCACAATGTATAATAAATCTCAGTTACAAGCACAAGTGTTTTATTTAAAGTTTGCTTAAAAGTACAGAGGTACCACTTGCATTTACTTAATCTATAAAAAATGCATCATATTTCTTCAGAGGGCCATATACTTTGTATATAAAATCTAAATCTACAAAATAACAAGTAACTATAACTGTCAAATAAATGTAGTAGAAGAAAAATGACCACATTTCTTAAATTAAGATGTAAAAACTAGAAAGACAAAAAGAAAAAACAACATACAGTTACTCTCAGAGTTGTAATTATGTAACTGAGTGTAATTATTTACTTTCCACCATGATATGTAGCTGTTGCTTTGATGCTTCACGTATACCTTGTACCTTTGTACTAACATAACACCTACAGCCCAGAGCTCCATGTTTGAGGCTGGAGGCAGCACGTGTTGGGCTGCTCCTCAGCGTAACAGAGTCTGGGTCCCAGACTGGTTTCCATCACCCAAGGCCCCATGACTCATGAAGTCGTAGGGACTGACTTCATCATTCATCAGGGTGTGAGGTACCTGAAGTGGGTGAACTCTGAACTGAAGAGGAAAAAAGGAAATGACTCATCTATGTACAACATACAGTAATACTCTAAAGATATGTTTACCCCACAAGTTTACACTGGGCTACATTTTTTAAATGTTATTTTATGCTTATTTATTTATTTGTTTGTTTGTTATTTTGTTGGGGGAGCTAAAATATCATGACTATGTATAAATAACAGTCAGGAAAAATCTAGTCTAACAGAAGAGACGTGTTCCCATATTCCGAAAAACATAGAACAGTTACTTTCTGTTTGTCAGCTACACTCTTATGAGAGGAAGACAAACATGAAACCACTGACACTGTTAAAAACTTTAATCAGTGCAGAGACTAAAAGAAGTTGCCTTGTCACTAGTGAACAGGGTGAAACCACTGACACAAATTTGTGGTCAGTCTATGAAAATTGGCATATAAAATGAAAACTAAGACGATTCCTGTTGATGAAGCTGAAAATAGACCTGCTCCTCCAGTAGCAGACCTAATTGTCTTGGTCTCATGGTTATTAACTATATTAGCTACAAAGAGCTATGACAATTGTAAACAAAACTACCTATCACAACAAAGTCTAACTTATTGTGGGCTAACTTGCCCAGTGTTTATTAAAATAAAATTAATTAATTAGATTTAAAGCAGCATAAAGTATCTAAAAGTTGTTTACAATGAGAGAAACTCACTATAATCTGACCAGTGGTTCAGACCTAACACATTGACCTAACACCTAACGCATTGTTTTCTACTGAACTGTTTTGCTGGGAGAATTAGTAATGATTTACAGACTAAATAAGATTTCAGTTTCAACGTATTTAAAACCTATTAAATGTTTGTTGAATATGGAATAGTTAACAACGACCTATTTGAATAAATGCAATTTATATTGATTGAAAACTGTTAAAACTGTAAATTACTCAGGAGTATGGGTACTTGGCTTGTTGCAGATAAAAAAGAGAGAACTGCAGCCCAGAGGGATTAAACACACTGTAATTTCCCTTACAACACAAACCTAACCTACCAGTCTCAGTCTGTCACTCACAGCAGCAGTCCTGACAGGAGACTAGCCAACAAGAGCACAAGTCCTTAGCTGGAGCTGAGGCAGATCACCAGGCAACAGCAGGACAGAGTGCTGTGTGCGCTAACCGAGACCTCCAATTACTGTACACACATCTTCTGGGTCTTAGAAAACACAAGCTATAAAAACACAACTACAAGCACCAGCCACCCACTGTTTCTCAGGTTACGAAAGCAGAGCCCTTGAGGCATCAGGATGGCATGTTGGTTTTAGTGAGCGATGAAAAGTTAAAGTGGACCGAGGAATTAGCCAACAGGTTGGAACTGCAGAGAAAACATCAGCACCCCTTCTCACTCATCCATCATCTTACAGCCTGTGATCCCCCTCAGGGGCAGTTCCCATGGTCTGTGCCAACCTGAGCATGCTCTGTGGGGTCCAGAGCAGAGCGATTACAGTAATAACACTACAGGTGAGGCTGCAGATGCAGACACACCAACTCTATCCAACATCAAGGCCAATAATTCCTGTGCATATGCAGGTGGATGACAGACTGAAGGAAAATGCTTTCTCCAACAAGCCTACAGCAACATGAGATACTGAAAAAAAGCTTTCAGCTCATATGTTTGCCTAGTCTGGACAAGCAGCAGGAGTCTACAAATGACCTGAAGAAGAAAAGTGCACAAAGGTTCAGGACTCCTATGTATTGTTCATGGTAAAGTTTGAAATCTTTGTTTCAGTCTTGCACTGGAATGTTAAAATGACTTGACCAAAGGGTTTGTTCCCATTTTCAGTGATCGAATTATATCAGAATTTAAAACTGGTATACCTTCAGTTACAGTGGAACAAAATGACCAAACTATATTTTCAACCACAAATCATATCTTTTGAGAAAAGCTATAGTATTTATCAAGTGATAAGCAGTATGAAAAAATAATTGTTTTGTAAGTTATGTGCAGTGTGAAGTTATTTTGTGAAGCTTAATACCAGCTTTAGAAATGTGTGCAAACAAAAGTTGGGTTGTTTTAATTTAAGATGTGCTTTTATGTATTATTGTATATACTGGGTCTTAAATAGCATTATAATTACTGTTATTCATTACTATTATATGTTATTATATTATAAAACTGGGTAATCATTTGCAGTAGTTCAAAATCTCTAAATTGAATTTCACAGTCATCCTCTTATATACCTTGAAATTAAGACATTTGCACATGAAATTTTAAGCTGTATGTGTAAAAAAAAGTGAATAAAATCATACATCAAAGCATTTAAATGTTTTAATGGATGATGAAGCATTGATATGTAACAGATACAAAACACTGAAGGTCAAAGGTTTTTATAAATGCAATGCCTGAGATGATCTACAGCATTCACCCAATGAAGCTGGTGACCAAAGGTTGTGGTCTATTAAATATAACTGACAGGCATACCAGCTGCGGTGCAGTACAGTAAAAGGTTTCCAAAGGTCATGAGTTTCCTAATCATGAATTTGCTACACAAAATGTGCTTGTTAAGTAAAAAAGTAAACAAAAGTTTAAATTCAAACATGGTATTTATAGGTCTATTTACATATTTACAAAGTCTTTCTGGCCATTAGGAAACACCTACAGTGATAAAAGGCCTTTTTAGTTCATTACACTTTTAGGACTGGAATGACACTCCCTTCTCCGACTCTGAGGCCCCAGTGGAGTAGGCTATAAAAAAATTACATGCATTTCAGTACTGTACAAGTTTTGTCTTTGCTCTAGTTAGCAAGGGGCTGAGGCACATTGTGAGAAATCTTTGTTGTTTTGCTCTGTCAGTTTGAGAATGACAACCTTCCTCTGGAGCTGTGTAGCTTCCGGTGGAGCAGGCTGTTCAGCCATAGGCGGCACCGAGTCCACCAAGTCCTGGCAGCCCTGTGGCAGCAGCATAGTAATGATGTTTGAGTATCCACCCTGCACTGCCAGGTGCAATGGGGTGAGCCCCTGCTCGTCTGACAGAGCGCCACCGTCTGGACAGTGGAGGAGCAGTTCTTTTAGGACTTCACAGTGTCCGCTCTCTGCTGCCAAGTGGCAGGGGGTGCGTAGGGCCTGGTTGGATCTGCAGGGGTCTGCCCCTTCTTCTATCAACATCTTGACCGTGGCGAGGTGTCCTCGCAGGGAGGCTAGGTGGAGAGGCGTGAGTCCATGGGTGTTCTGGGCGTGGATGTCTGCCCGGTGTTTGATCAAAAGGCGAGAGGTGCTGGTGTGACCTGTCTCTGCCGCCACATGCAGTGGTGTGCCTAAGCCAGTGGACGTCATGTGAATATTCGCTCCTAGTTCAATCAGGATTCGTGCCACTCTGTACTGTCCCCTCTGGGATGCCAGATGCAGAGGAGTGCGGCCATCTGATGTCTGCCCATCCACGTCAGCACCAGCCTGTTTGACCAGCAGCTTGACGATACCCAGATGCCCCTGCCAGGCAGCCAAGTGGAGTGCCGTCCAGTTGTCCTTGCCCTTAATTCGAATATCAGCACCGCGACTTAGAAGCACCCGGACAACATTCTCCTGGCCATGTTGGCAGGCCACATGAGCTGGTGTGCGCCCCTGACCATCAGCCTCGTTAATAGCTGCCCCACGGTCCAGCAGCAGGCGTGTGATTGCCTCATCCCCATTCTGTGAAGCCCAGTGCAAAGCTGTGTACTGGTCCTCATCTTTGGCATTGACATTGGTGCTGCGCCGACCAAGCAGAAGTTCTGCCAGGGGCTTTAGGTGCTTCTCTGTGGCCAGGTGGAGGGGTGTGGAACCACGAGCATTGGCAAGGTTAGGGTTGGCGTTGTTCAGGAGGAGGAACTTGACAGCCTCTTCATTGCCCAAGGTGATGGCATGGTGGAGTAGACTGCCTCCTCCGTCGAGGAGAAGGTCAACATCCTGAGGCTGGAGGATCTTCATCAGCTTGGCGGTGTCTTTGGTCCTGATGGCTTCACACAGCTTCCGCCTCTGGACCTCAGCAGAATCTGAGCAGAAAGGAAGAAAGAACATGTTTGACACAAAAATCACAAGTTACAATTGTAGTCATCATTAGCTGGGATTCCTTTTGGTGTGAACTCAAGTAATCATGATGTTGTAGTAGTTTTATTTTACCAGCTGTAGGTCTTTATTCAGCTCTTACCATATGTGCTTTCTTTCTCAAACGACAGCGTGATAGAGTCTTGGGACGAGAAGGCTGAATCGGCTGAGGAGATGCCAGACAGTCTCTTGCAAGTGTTCTCTTTGCTGTGGCAGCTATCTTCCTTCACTCTATCAAAGCTCCTAGAGATCCCAGAATCCACCTGGCTCAAGAGCTCTGACAGGCTATAATCTTTCTCTGGCAACATGGCTGACTTTGGCCGCACTGGTTTGTTCTCTTTAACCTGTGGAGCAGAAAGTCAGTTAAGCACATCTGGACAAGCCATTCTTTGACACTGTACATGTTATTACATTTACACTCAGCTGTGTAGCTGTCACTCTCAGCCTGAGCCACTTACAGTACAATGGATACTGAATGCTGAATTGTGATAATTTGCTGAACTTAAATTTGAACATATGGCTCAAACTGGCTCATCTTTTTTAACTACAAATAACTATCATTGAGTTCTGTCACTTCTCATCAGCAGTATTTTTGTTTCTAGTCACGTACACAGAAATGACAAAGCTACACACGGGCTGAACAATCCCATCAGTCAACATTCCTCTTACATGATGCAATTGTTGTTCCAGATAAAATCTTTACAGAACATACGGTAAAGTCATAATCATGTCTGGAGATAAGCAGGTCATTGTCCGAATGGTCAGTTACACATTAATGAAAAATGTATACACTCAGTGAGAGTCAAGTGAAGCAAAGGAATACAAGTGGAAAATCACCATTGCTACAAAAACCTAAGACCTTGCTCAATCCCCATTTAAAATGGAGCCAGTATGCTCAGAAACACATGACGTTCAGAGATGAAAATATCACTGAAACAATCAAAAAGCAGTAACTGTGGTGTTGTCATGTCATACCTTGTCACTGGTGAGTGCATTAGGGGACATGGGCTCTGGCTCTGATGTAGACAAAGTTGGGCTCCTGGGCTCCTCTTGAGGTTTGGAACAGAGCTCCTCAGCTTCAGATGTGATTTCTGTAAGGACAACGGGTTTCAGGGTCAGGTTGCAGTAATGGCAGGTAAGAGATTAGGGAATACACAAGGGAAGAAAAGCAGCAGAAAAGCCTCAGTTTTTAACAAACTGCAGCAATTAAATTCATGTAAGTGTGTTATCCTAAAACTGTATAGCTAATGGAGTAGGATCACTGGCATTCATACCAATTTATTTGATGTTATCTTGTCAGAGGAAGGTTAACATTTGTTTGTGATGAATAGAGAAAAGCAACTTACCCTGGAAGCTGGGTCTGACTTCAGGGTTTGTGGCCCAGCAGCGTTGCATGAGGCTCAGGAAACCTGTGCAGGCTGAAGGTCGACAGCGTGGCACCGCATTCAAGTCTGGACGCAGACCCTTAACCACCTTCACCATGACCTGCAGGATATTATTCTCACCTAGGGAAAAAAATACAGTTTGTTATGTCAGTTCCATCACTAACCAACTTGGTTTTATACATAATTGATTCTGATCTGTAGACTCATGTTGGTGCTGGTAGGTGCCAGTGCCTATATACATAGTCAGTCTGCACAGCTTTATCACCATCTTCCTGCCTGCTCAGATAAAGGTGTGTGTGTGTGTGTGTGCTGTTGCTTTTTTAGGGAGCAAAATAGAAAAGCTCTCAGAGTTTGTGGTTGGGCCTCTGTCTATCTGACTATGGAATCAGCCAAGTCAGTGATCCAGAACAAACAGGTAAAGGCTTTAATCACAGGTACAGTACACCATCTCCTATTGTAGCTATAATACCCTGCGCTGCTGGAGAAGAAAGATGGCAACCAGGCCATTTCTTACTTTTTAACTTTGTCTGGATCAACATAGGCAGTGCCAGTAACAATCTGGCCAGCCTTACATACACACTGGTCTTTAAAAGAAGACAAATTCCATGAAGTAAACTGCTACCTGAGACGCCTGAGAAAAAACAATGCTTGCCAGTCTGGCCCTGTCCACCTGCTTGCTCTGGAATTTACTGAGTAAACATATACAGTGCAGCTCGGTGCACAAGTACACACACACACAGAGCTGTGCTTTCATTCCTTGTGGGGACTTTACATTGACTTCCATTCATTTCCTGTAGACTCATCCTAACCTTAACCATAACCACTACTTGCCTAACACCTAACCCTAATACATAACCTAACCTCATCCTAACCCTAAACCATTGTTGCCACCCTAAAATTCAGTGATTTCCTTGTGGAGACTAGCATCTGGTCCCCACAAGGATGGCTGAGTCCCCACAGTGTGAGTTTGTTAACAGGTTTTGGTCCTCACGATGCAAGTAATACAAAGGCACAAAGGTGTAACCTGAAGCATTCACCTTAACTTATGCGTTTACTGGAAACTATGAAAAACAATTTGTGGCTGGAAAATATGCCAAAAAAAAAAAAAAAAAGTAAAAAGTTAGGAAAAGTGTTGGATGTTGTCAAAGTTGTAAACAAAAACGTGTAGACCATTTTAGTCATCTCTCACCCAGCTCTATGCAGGTAATGCCAAGTGACCACACATCCACCTTCCCATCGTACTGACCCTCGTCCATGGCCAGGATCACCTCAGGAGCCATAATTTCTAATCTCATCTATCTCTCTACCATATGGGATAGATAGATTCAAAACTAATGCCATTCCCATCAGCCCCAGCTGTACTTTGTATTTGATATTCAAGAGCAAATGCTAGCATGCTAAAGTAGCATGGCAACCATACTAAACATACTTGCTAAACATGAAGTACCTTAGCTCTAGCACTGTGAGCATTAGCATTTAGTTGTACCTAATTACACAACCTAGCATGGCTAAACTGACTTGTAGTTTAGCCTACATTTTGTTTGAAATCATTATTTTGGAGAAGAACATATGACAGTACTGTCAAACCACTAGAGGTTGACATGAATTATTTATACACCAGCCATAATATGATAATTATCAAGCAACATACTTCTGATATAGCATTAATTTAGCTCTTTTCCTTTAACAATCCTAATTCTGAATGTTATTTTCTCAGCAGGCATTGC